GCCACCGGGCGCGCTCCTTGGTAGCCACTTCTTTACAGTCAAGTCACTCAGTAAGGATGAGCAACTTTCCGAGGCTGCCCTTGCATGCTTGCCCCCTTGGCCCATCCTTGGCGACCTTCTCCGGCCAACCCCGTCTAAAAGCGCCCACATGACCCTCCAAGGAACCTCGCATCCTTGCCGCACGTCCTCATTATGCGACTCGACTGTGATACAGACAAGGCGCTTGAATAAGGGCCGCTTCGGGTTCGGAAGGCTCTCTCTGATCCTTGAGTCGTTCCGTGGTTGTTCCTCTGGCCCTCCGGGGCCTGACAGGGGCTTCGCTCCTTAGCATTCTGGTCGCACCTCGGCTGCACGCCCACCTCTAGCCACGCGCAGAGGGGGGTGGGGGGAGGGGGGCGGGCCTCTCCGGAGCACCCCTGCTCCTCTGAAGGCGCGGGCCTCATCTTCAGATGTGAGGCCGCCGCCTTCTGAGAAGCAGGGGTGCTTCGAAGCAGCCCGCCCCCCTCCCCCCACCCAGGAGGGGGTCCTCGTGCGCTTCTGTGGGGGCCAGCCAGGAGGGGTGCTTCTAAGCAGCGCGCCGCCCACACCTCTCGTCCAGGGCCCCCCCCCCGGGGGGGCGCGACGGCAGGTCGCGCTCCGCGCGTTCCGCGGCCGGGGTGGGCGCGCCGCCCCACCTCCGGGGCGGCGGCGCTGGGCACGGCGGGGCGCGCGGCGCGGAGGCGGGCAGGGCCAGGCCTCGCCCGAGCGGGCCGGGCCCGAGGAAGCAGCGCGGACCTCCAGCGGGGGGGCCCTCCGAGACCCAGGAGGGGGTCCTTCGTGGGCCTCCTGTGGGGGCCTCTGGAGAGCCTCTTGGAGCCTCTTGAGAGCTCGTGGGAGCGCCTCGTGAAGCCTTCTGGGAGCCTCTGGGGAGCGCCCAGGGGCCTCCTCTGGATCCTCGGGCTCGGGCAGGGCCCGAGTTCTCCCGCCTGTCCAGGTCAGGGGGGGAAAACACACAGACACAGATAATCGCCGCTTCCCCGGAAGATACAGGGAAATCTGGGAAGCGGGGGGGACGACGAAACTCCAGAAAAGATTCTAAAATATAGGACTTCCTGGGAAATGTGTGTAATAATCCGTAAGGGCTTCGCCCCATGCCGCCGGCCCCCTGTCTCGGATAATGGGAGATGCAAAAGCTAAATCATGAGGTCTGGGCGCCGCCGTGAAGCAGTGTCGGGACCTGTTTGTTTTTCGACCCTGACCCTACGGATCTGCGTCACGGGTGTCACCGAATTTCAGAAAAGTGGCAAATCCCTTGTGTTCTTGGACCCTGACCCTACGGATCTGCGTGATGGGTGCCGCCGAATTTCAGAAATGTGGCAAACTCCATGTGTTTTTGGACCCTGACCCCGCCGATCTGCGTGAGGCGTGCCACCGAATTTCAGACATGTAGCAAATCCTATGTGTTTTTGCGCCCTGACCCCGCCGATCTGCGTGAGGCGTGCCACCGAATTTCAGACATGTAGCAAATCCTATATGTTTTTGCGCCCTGACCCTGCCGATCTACGTGAGGGGTGCCACCGAATGTCAGAAATATGGCAAATCCTTTTTGTGTTTTTGCACCTTGACCCCGCCGATCTGGGTGAGGCGTGCAACCGAATGTCAGAAATGTGGCAAATCCCATGTGTTTTTGGACCCTGACCCCGCCGATCTGCGTGAGGGGTGTCAGCAAATTTCATAATGTGGCAAATCCCGTGCGGTTTTGGACCCCCCGCCGATCTGCGTGAGGGGTGCCACCGAATGTCAGGAATGTGGCAAAGCCAAGTGTTTTTGGGGTGTTAATTTTCCCCCACCCCAGCAATTCAGAGCATACGATTTGGGCGTGGTAGAAATGCCCGTTTTGGGCCTCCCCCCCTCGCGCGGTCCATCAACAAGGAACAGTAAGCAGCAAGAAGCAGAACTGTAACAAGGAACACTAAGCAGCAAGAAGCAGAACTTTCACAGTGGAAACTGCAAGCTGCGCCTGGTACAGGAAACTGCGAACCTTAGGCCACCCACAAGGGGGCCGGCGGATTATCTAATCGCTTCGCTCACTCCGCCTGCCCAGATTGCCTCGCCGCTGTCGTTTGTCGGGGTGTTGTTGTTAATGCGGTGGGGTTGGGCGGTTGCCATTTTTCGCGGGCGGTGGGTGGCGGGTCAGAGGCCTCACAGATGTTGGTTGGGCTCTCGTGGTTGGCCTCTCAGGGAAGCACTTTTGATGCCTCTTGGGGGCCTCTTGGGGATTATTTGGGGGCCTCTTGGGGCCTCTTGGGGCTGAAGGCTGGAATGTTCGGTTCCTGGTCCCCTTCTTCGGCCCCTCTTGGGGCTTGGGCTGTCTTGGGGCCATCTTGGACCGTCTTGGGGCCCTCTTGGAGGCTTCGTTGGCCGTCTTGGGGCGGTCTTGGAAGCCTCTTGGGCCGTCTTGGAGCGCCGGTAAGCCGAAAAGGCGAGAACGCTAAAAACCGTCAGAAACTGAAGGACAATTACTAATTTCTGCCTCTGTGGGCCCTCTTGTGAGGTCTCTTGGAAGCCTCTTGGGGCGTATTGAAGGCGCTTTGGTCTGTCCGGAGGCAATCTTTGGCGTCTTGGATCGCTCTTGGACCGTCTCGGACCATGTTGAGCTCTCTCGGAGGCCACTTGAAGCGCTCCTGGAGCGCTCTTGGGAGCCTGCTGGGACCTGGCCGGGACCTGCCCAGGACCTGCCCGGGACCTGCCCAGGATCTTGCTGGGACCTTGCCGGGACTTGCGGGTGTGCTTGTCGTCCGGGGACCCCCAGGGGCGGCCCCCCGCGCGCGCGAAATACTGTTTACCAGTTACCGGAGAGATCTTAGCACGCTCTTGGCCCGTTGGGCCGGCGAATTCGTGTCCCAGGGCCCCCCCAGGGGCGGGCCTGGGCGTTGGTCAGTGGAGGGCCGTTTGAGGCAGCGAGGAAGAGCGGTGCGTCTGGGCCCCGGGGAGGTTCCAGAGACCGATCTTGAAGTCGGGTCGGACGCAAGGGTCGGGGGAGCGTAAGACCCGGGTTTGCCGGGACTCGGGTTCGCCATCGTTTTTTGACGACCGCGACTCGGATTTTGACGAGGAGGAGTTTCGTGGGATGTCTGCAGCGGGAGGCCTCGTCAAAATGCAGGCTCGGCCTCGTCATTTTTTTGACGACCTCGTCGGGGATTTCCGAGTCCCCCGTACCCGGGTCTTACGTCTCCCCGAAAGGGGGGGATAGGGAAGAGGGGGGGGTGGGGGGGGTGGGGGGGGTTTGGCACTGCCTGCATGCGCGGCCGTCGGTGCGCGGCAGTCAGCACGGTGCCGCCACGCGGGCGAGGAGCAACACAAACAATAGAAAACGAGGGGGGTACGAAATTTGCTGCATCCAGCTTGTCTCGCCCCCCCCGCCAGGCGCTCTCCTCCACACGCTGGCGCCTCTGGCGCTGGCAGGGGCCAGGGCAATCTGACGCGTGAGCAGATTCGCCCCCCCCCCCCAGCTTTCCAGGGCTGGCCCTGCATTCCTTGCCCCTTCGGCCCATCCTGGGCGACTTTCGCTGACCAGCCCCCTTTGCTATGCCCTCCTCTCGTCCGACCCGACTCCCAGGGGCGGGCCTGGGCGTTGGGGCCCCGAGGGCGGCGGACGTGCACGAGCCTCTGGCCGCGGACCTCTGCCCTCCACGCGCGCGGTCTGCGCAAGGAAACGCCGGCCAGGTCCTCTTTCGCGCCGCCAGGACGCCCCTTTACCGAGGTCTCCGACGATGTGATGCTTTCGACTGGCCATGTTTCAGGATCTCTCGATGTCGGCGGCCGTTTTCGGGCCCTTGGACAATAACAGATCATCCGGTACCTGGAATTGCCCCCAGCGGTCCCAGGCAAGGCGTTGGGAGCTCTCTGGGCCGCGGGCTGAAAACATCACAGCGTCGGATGTCTGGGTGTTCCCCCCGGGTCCTGAGGGGAAGCGGGTCGTGAGGACTCGTCATCTTTCGCGGCTTGTTCTCTCGGCGACCGAGGCGGCTCCCAGTCTTCGGGGGCGTCAAACAAGGGCGAGGGATGACGAGCTGCCCCTTGGGGGGGGCCTGGGGTTTAGGACCCGCTTCCGGGGACGACCAAGAGGTGGCGCACATGGTTCCGGCCACGATTTGCGAACCCTCCTCTTCACTCCGCCCCTCTTTGACGCCCCCAGCCTCGGGACGCGTTTCTTCTTCATGCCAAGTGAGCGAGGCAGAAAACGGGTTCGATTGTGCCGATATTCGCGCGTCAGTCGCCCGCGCGAGGCCGCGCGTAAGCGCCCTCGCTTCCAGTGCAGAGTGCCACAATGGAGGCCCGCGTAGGCCGCCGCGGAAGGTCGCTATGTCATCGTGCGTAGGACCCTTTTCTTTTCGTCGCTCAAGTGTCGCTCTCTTTTCCCACATGCCCGGGTCGTCTGCCAGCGCGCGGTGCTTGGGCGTTGCGTAATGGGGGGTCATAAACGGGGGGGCGGCGATTGTGGTCCGAAAAGGTACCCAAATGGTACCTAAACGAGCCCCCTGGGGCTCTGGAGGGGCCCGAAAGGGGCACGAAAGGGGACCGTTTCTGACCCCCCCATTTGTGACCCCCCCATTAAGCCACGCCCAAGGTGCCAACCGCGCCCGCGGGAGGTGCCGGAGTGCGCCGCCCAAGGGAGGCCTTCGGCGGTGCCGCCCGGGAGGCGCGCGGCCGAGGAGGAAAAGGGCGGCTCTGTTGTGGCCTGCCTCGTCCACAGTGTGGCCGGCGAGGGTCGAGGAGCGAGGAGCGAGGATCGAGGGTCGAGCTTCGAGGATCGAATATCGGGCTCGGCTTGGGCCTCGGCGAGGCGCCTCGCGCGGCCACGCGCGAACACGCCGCGTTTCGGGCCGCGCGGGACAGGGGGGCGATCGTTGCTATCGGGGCGCCCCATCGCCGATCCATAGGCGATGTATCGCAGGTTTCAGCTCAAAGTTCCCCCCCCCCCCCAGCCGAGCCAGTCTCCCCCATGGGCGCCCCCTCAGGTCATGGCCATCTACGACGGCAAGGAGTTCATCAAGAGCTGCAAGGTCGAGAACGAGACCGTCGGAATTGTGCTGGACAAGACGCCCTGCCTCTCCACCCGAGCCGCGGGGCACGGCCAGCTGAGAGCGCTCGCCACACACTCCCCCTGCATCTTGTTCTAGTCCTCCTCCCCCTCTCCCTCCTCCTTCTCCTCATCCTCCTACGCCTCCTCCTCCTCCTCCTCCCTCCTCCTCCCTCCTCCTCCTCCTCCTCCTCCTCCTCCTCCTCCTCCTCCTCCTCCTCCTCCTCCTCCTCCTCCTCCTCCTCCTCCTCTCCCTTTTCCTCCTCTCTCCCGTTCCTGACCTGCGTTTGTCCCTGCCCCTCGCCTCTTGTCCCTGCCATGGCCCTGAGCGGGTGGCTCCAGGCCTGTTTCGAGAGCCCTTGAGACCTTGAGAAAAGGCACTGAGGACTGACTGTCGCTTGGCTGTTCCAGTACGAACGTCAACATACCGTGTTGCGACGAAGAGTATGAATACTCAGACGTGGGAACGATCACTGGTGCATCAGAGATACTCATCAACTGATATTCACCCCTCTCATCAGTGTACATATTTCCGCGCCTCTTCCCCGTCATGTTTTCACCTCCTACTTCCTACTCCTTCCCCATACACCCATACCCATCGTAATTTAGGAAACGACAATTCCGACCACCAATGAACACCTCCAGAATGGGCATCGAGACCTCCAGCACATTCCAACATGGAGGAGCAAACATCCTGAACAACGAGCAAGCATTCAATAATGAAGGGCGATACCTCAAACAGCCTCGGGAATGAAATAATAATACGTCCAGGGCAAGAGAAGCAACACCCAGGCCAGAGGTCGAGACTTGCAACAGCCTCCACGGTGTGTGAAAGAGGCGCCCATATGATGGAGAACGAACGTTTAGCCTGATGAAGGGCTCAATCCGCTACAGCCTCGTGCAGCTGTGGGAGTGGACCACTCCTCAGATGCTACGCTCGGCGGCCGCATGTGAACCCTACCCCCGCTCTCCAGGATTTCTAAGGGGGGTGGGGGTTCAGGTCGTTCGAGAGCTCCCGAGCGGAGTAAACTCCCACCCACCCCTCAGAAATCGTGGAGGGTGGGGGTGGGGTTCACATATGGCCACCTATTCGCGCCGTGGGAGGGATATGGTTCGGCGCGGACGGAGGTAAGGAGGTTGCCGACACATTCGCGCAGAGGCGTGCTGAGCTCCCTGTGGGGCGCGATCCGTCTGAGGGGCGTGCCAGAATGGGCCTTGGCATCGCTCGGACGTGTGCCTTCTTTGACCGGCGAGGACCATCGAGGAGCATCCTCGATCATCGAGCGAAAACAAGCACGCACGAAACCGAAACACGCACGCGGAATCGACGTCCGAGCGATGGCAAGGCCCCCGCGGGGGCGATCCGCGCGAGGGGTGTGCCGAGCGGGCGCGCTCACCGACGCCGCAGGTGGAGCTCCCAATCGGGGGCACGGTTCGCGCTAAGGGCGTGCCGAGAGGGTTCGGACCGAGCGAACCACGACGTGTCGGAGGTCTTGGCTGTCTGGCGGCGCGCCTCGGGGCCCTCGCGCGAGGACGCCCGCCGTCCGGGAAGGGCGAGGGGGAGTCCTCAGATCAGCCGTGGCCGCGAGGGAAGCCCTCGCAGGCCAGAGAGCCAGGAAAACGAGGACTCCGAGATCCGACGTCGCGGAAAGCGGAAGTCGAAGAAGAAACGCATCGCGGAAGCATTGATCTTCAGAGCTCCGCGCGGGTTTTTGGATCGGCGCTCGGCCCCACTTGCGGCGCATCCGGCGCCGCCCATAGCGCGCTCCGCGCGCCAGAGCGGGGGTCTTCAGCACGGATCCAAGAAATCCGCGCGGAGCTCTACAAGATCAGATTCATGGCGTTGCCTTTCTTATTACAACAAAACACGGCCAGATCCCTCGACCCCGTCTATCTGCGGCCCCCCTCCACCAGATCGGCCCGTGAGGGCCCCGGGGCCCGAGGTTGGGCGAGAAGGGGCGGAGCGAAAAGAATTGCGACGCCCAGGTGATGGGTTACACGTGCAGCGAAGACGCTGGGATGAGGAACAGTTTGGGTCTGGAAGAGGCCCCATGTTCCGTGGGTCCTTCCCATGTCTGTTCCTCCAGCCTCATCGTGCCCGCAGGCGCTTTCGGGGCCAGAATGTAGCTTCGCTCCTTAGTTTTGCAGCCCGGCTGTCCAGTGTAGGCCAGTCCACAAGAAGTTTTCCACAAGGAACCCAACCCTGAGACCCCAGGACGTCCACTGATTTTTGGTGTGGGGACGTCACGCTTTCCATGGCAAAGTCATCGAAACCCAAGAAACCCAGGGCACCCTGGCGAGCAGGGTGTTACTTGGCATGGGTCTCCACTGGAAGCGTGCCCCTTCGCAGGGGTGATCTTTTTGCGCGCAGTTGTCCGGGGGTGCGGGGGGCGGGGGGGGCATGCCCAGGCACGCAGGCCGCCGTTGTCGCGCCGCAAGCAGCGGTGGTCAAGCCGAGCACCAAAGGTTGTTCTTGCCCAGGGCCTCTCTTACGTGAAGAGTCGAGATCGGGGGCAACGTGAGGGGGGGACAGGAGCAGGGGGGAGAGGCATCTACCCCGAATCGCCCACTGATCCCTCGAGAGCCCCTCCCCGAGCAGGAACGAGCGGATTCGTTATCCGGAGCATATCGCCGATCTATCGGCGACGCAGCGCCGATTCCATCTCGACGCTTGCCTCCTGAGCCGCCCCCCCCCCTGACGCTCCTCCTCACGAGCAGAGAAGGAGGCTCGCTCCTCGGATGAGGAGGGCACACGCGCCCCCTCGAGCCGCCCTCCCTGCGCGCCGGGGCCAGGGCCACCTCTCCGGCCGTCGCTCGGGCCCCCCCTGGTAATTACCCAGATTCCAATATTTTTTAGGCGCCTTCCTGCTTCAAGAGTCGAAAGGTTGTCCCTCTTCTCTCTTCTTCGCGGGGTGGGCTGAAGCCCAATCTACTTCTAACGCCCTCCTATGCCTCCGAGATCCGACGTCACGAAGCAGTTGCAACATGGTAAGAGCCCGCCGGAGGCCATGGACCGATCCTCCTCCTCCTCCTCCTCCTCCTCCTCCTCCTCCGCCTCCTCCTCCTCCTCCTCCTCCTCCTCCTCCTCCTCCTCCTCCTCCTCCTCCTCCTCCTCCTCCTCCTCCCCCTTCTACTCCTCCCCCTTTTCCTCCTCCCCCTTCTCTCTGCATGTTTCCAGCTGGACCGATCCGTGAAGGCCACGGGGGGGCCGAAACGGCAAGCGTCGCCCCCGTGGTGAATCAGATGCGACTTCAGGACCTCAGGGACGGACCGTGCGGTGCGGTCTTTGCCTGGCGGGGCCAGGACAAGGATGGATCCGTGCTAGAGCGTCCCGGAACACTCTCAAAGCGTTTCCGAACGCAGTGAATGAGAAGACCGCGGCGCCCGATACATCCTCCAGAACCGCCGAGCCTACGTATGAGGTTCCCGAGTTGTCTTTGTCCGATCTTGTCCTCGTCCTGGCCTCGCGTTGCTTGGGGAGGGCGGTGCGAGGGGTCACCGCGCGGTCCGTCACCGCACCGTGTTTAGGGGCCGCCAAGCCGAGCAGGGAGGGCGGCTTCCCTCAGGGGCAACGATAGGGGGGTAGAGGCATAGGGGGGATGCATCGACCCCTGATCGCCCATTGATCGCAGATAGGGGTCTGATAGCCCCACCCCGCACAGGAAGGTGCGGTTTCGCTATCGGGGGCCTATCGCCGATCTATCGGCGATGTATCGCCGATTCCAGGTCGATGCATCCCCCCCCTATGCCAGTCCCCCCCTATCGTTGCCCCTCTCCTGCTGGGCCCCCCTCGGACCGCCCACTCTGGCGCGGCGCCGAGGCATCCGGAGCCCCCCTCCCTCTGGGGCTTCCCGCCGCCGCCGCCTCTTCTCGGAGGGCAGGTGCCCCCTCGGGCCGACTCCTCGGGCGCGCCGCCAAGGCAGCAGGGGCCGGGCCGGGGCCCCCGTCGCTCTGAGGCTTCCCGCCGCCGCTGCCGCCGCCTCTTCGCGATGATCCTCAGGACGAGTGTCAGCCCAATGTGTGTGTTACCCCCTTCAGCCCAACCAGTAGATCATTACATCGCCTGCGTCGTATCGAAGGGCCTCGATGGGCAAACACACGCTGGGGCTAACACACGTTCTGAGAATCATCGATCCTCTCGGAGTGCAGGTGAGGTGCCCCCCGAGAGGAGGAGTCTGCGGCAGTGCGGAGTAGGGGCAAGTTTGGGTTCGAGTTTCGAGGTGTTCGGGCTTTTTGTGCCCCCTCTGGCCCGTGAGGCTGTTTGCTGAGAGGGCACATGCGGCGTTCCAGAGAGGGCCTCGCCTCGTGTGGGGCCATTGCCGATCAACAGGTGTGCTCCTTGAGCAAACCCTGTTCGATCCATCCCACTCGTACAGGCCGCACGTACCTCCGTCGCTTAGCTGGGCCCCCCCCCAAGACCCAAGACAAGGCTGGCCCACCGAGGCAGCGACCAGGGGCTCTGATTTTTAAGCGATACCCAGACTTGCGAAAACGGGGATCTCAATCTCAATCTCCTCCTACTCCCTACGATGCTCCTCCTCCTGCTCCGCCTCCTCCGCCTCCTCCTGCTTCTTCTCCTCCCCCTTCTCCTCCTCATCCTCCTCCCAATTCTTTACCTATTACTCCTCCTCCTCCTCCTCCTGGATCCTCCTCCTCCTCCTCTTCCTCCTTCTCAGCATCCTCCCTACTCTTTTTCTCCATCTCCATCTCGTCCTCCTCCTCCTCCTCCTCCTCCTCCTGCCTCCTCCTCCCTCTGCTCCTCCTGCTCCTGCTTGTCCTCATGTTCCTCCTCCTCTTCCTTCTCATCATCAACACCAACATCCTTCTACTGCCACCCCCTGCTGCCCGTCCTCCTCCTCCTGCTCCTCCTCCTCGTCATCCTCCTTTATCATCCTCTTCCCTCATCATCATCCTTGTCCTCCTCCTTCCTCCTCCTCA